TGGGAAGCTACCCATGTCCACTCCCACTCCCAGTGTCGGAGAAGGTGCCGTCCTGTGTGCTCCCAGGGCACCCCGTCTTACCATCAAAAAGATACCACTGAACACTGTGATGTCTGTTGACTTCTCATCTCACCCGCCAGACTCTAAGTGCCCTGAGAGCAGGGACTGTATCTTATACTGATTTTATTTGTCAATCTATTGAGAGTACACAGGAGGTGCTACATAAATTACTGAATGAATGAATAGTGAAACATTTCCGGGGATCAAACTTGTATGCCTTGAGTCTCTACCTTTATGACAAGTTTTTTCCAAAGAGGGAACTAGTCCCCAGTGCACATAGACTCCTGATTGACCTACCCTACTGGTCCTCTGCCCTGACTCTTAGGGTCAGCCTGGCTTCGGCTTGACCTAAGACTCCTGCATAAACATCTGATGGGGGTGGACCACAGCAGTGCCTCTCAATCTTTAATACCCACAGGAATCCTGGGATCTGGTTGAAATGCGGATTCCAGCTTGGTAGGTCAGGGCAGGGCCTGAAATGCACTGCTGCGGCTCGGGGACTCACACCTTGCGTGGTAAGGCAGAACTAGCTGTCTTGTGCAGTCTCAAAACTGACTCCAGGATCCTGATTTATAAGAACCAATTGGCAAAAATTGAAGGTACTGAGGAAGCCTTTCTAGGAGAGGTTTATTTATTTTTTTATAATGCTTGATCTATTAAGAACAGAATTGTTCTTTTTTAAGAACATGTGACCATCACTGTAGGTTGCTTCCTCCTATTCTTATACCTAATCCTCTTCTCCCTTCTTTATCCAATACAGAGGCTGCTAAGCTCAAACGCTAACTCTCCCAGCCTCCCTTACTGTTCTGGATGAAATACGTAGCACAGAGCTGGCGATGAGATGTTGTTAGCCCTTAAGTTCTGCCTTAAATGTCCTTGCAATAGCCTGAGCTGCAACACTAATTTCAGCAGTTCAAAGATAGCAGGCTAATATCTCTGTGATTCTCTCAGCCTTCCTCTTATGCTTTTTACCTCATGGTCACAGAATAGCTGCTGCTGCCCAGTAAGTTCAAGCAACTCTTAATATCACCGATTGTCTAGTCAGTTTCAAATTTTCTTGATCATAATTTTCTTACACAGCTGGTTTATTTAAATCAGAATCATATTACTTTTGGTTATTTTTAACAATATTATATGCCTTAAGCTCCAAATTTCTTTTTTTTTTTAATTTTTATTTAGTTTTTCCCCCAAAGCCCCAGTAGATAGTTGTATGTCATAGCTGCACATCCTTCTTAGTTGCTGTATGTGGGACATGGCCTCAGCATGGCCAGAGAAGCGGTGCATCGGTGCGCGCCCGGGATCTGAACCCTGAACCGCCAGCAGCGGAGCGCGCGCACTTAACCGCTAAGCCACGGGGCCGGCCCTCCAAATTTCTTTTTATGAGATAAAAATAAATCCCTATTTGTTTACACTAACCTTACTGGAGTTTTATGTTCCTTGCAGCCAAACTGTAATACAGGATATTATTTAATTTTTAAAAATTAAAATTTATTTTCTCTCATTAGCAAATTAACACACCCTGCTTATAGAAATCTTAAAAAATATAGAAAAGTAGAAATAAGGAAAAGAAAATCAGTCACATCACTCAAGTGCTGTTAACATTTTGACATATTTTCTTCCAGTGTTGTTTGTACAGTTGTGATAATATAGTAGTAACAAATTTGTGTCCTTTTTTGTTTACCATTAAAAAACAGCATTTTACTAACAACCAACCAGCAGAAAGAGAAATCATGAATACAATCCCATTTATAATTGCAGCCAAAAGAGTAAAATACCTAGGAATAAATTAAACCAAGGAGGTGAAAGACCTATACACTAAAAACTATAAGACATTATTGAAAGAAATTGAAGACGACACAAGGAAATGGGAGGATATTCTGTGCTCATAGATTGGAGGAATAAACATAGTTAAAATGTCCATATTACCTAAAGCAATCTACAGATTCAATGCAATCCCAGTCAGAATCCCAACATTCTTCACGGAAATAGAACAAAGAATCCTAAAATTTATATGGAACAACAAAAGACCCCAAATAGCCAGGGCAATCCTGAGAAAAAAGAACAAAGTTGGAGGTATCATACCCCTGAATTCAAAATATACTACAAAGCTATAGTAATCAAAACAGCATGGTACTGGCACAAAAACAGACACACAGATCAATGGAACAGAATCGAGAGCTCAGAAACAAAACCACACATTTATGGACAGCTAATTTTCTACAAAGGAGCCAAGAACATACAATGGAGAAAAGGGAGTCTCTTCAACAAGTGGTATTGGGAAAACTGGACAGCCACATGCAAAAGAATGAAAGTGGACCATTATCTTACACCATACACAAAATTAACTCAAAATGGATTAAAGACTTGAATGTAAGACCTGAAACCATAAAACTCCTAGAAGAAAACATAGGCAGTACACTCTTTGACATCAGTCTTAGCAGTATCTTTTTGAATACCATGTCTCCTCGGGCAAGGGAAACAAAAGAAAAAATAAACAAATGGGACTACATCAAACTAAAAAGCTTATGTACGGCCAAGGAAACCATCAATAAAATGAAAAGACAACCTAACAATTGGGAGAAGATATTTGCAAACCATATATCTGATAAGGGGTTAATATCCAAAATACATAAAGAACTCACACAACTCAACAACAAAAAAACTAACAACTTGATCAAAAAATGGACAGAGGATCTGAACAGACATTTTTCCAAAGAACATATACAGATGGCCAACAGGCACATGAAAAGATGTTCAACATCACTAATTATTAGGGAAATGCATATCAAACCTACAATCAGGGCCTGCCCCGCGGCGTAGGGGTTAAGTGCGCAAGCTCTGCTGCTGGCGGCCCGGGTTCAGATCCCTGGTGTGCACCCACGCACCACTTGTCAGACCGTGCTGGAGTGGCATCCCGCAGAAAGTGGAGGAAGATGGGCAGGGATGGTAGCTCAGGGCCAGTCTTCCTCAGCAAAAAGAGGAGGATTGGCAGATGTTAGCTCAGGGCTGATCTTCCTCACACACACACAAAAAAACCCTACAATGAGATACCACCTCACACCCATCAGAATTGCAATTATTAAAAAGACAAGAAACAATCGGTGTTGGAGAGGATGTGGAGAAAAGGTAACCCTCATACACTGCTGGTGGGAATGCAAACTGGTGCAGCCACTGTGGAAAACAGTATGGAGATTTCTCAAAAAATCAAAAATAGAAATACCTAATGATCCAGCTAGTCCACTTGTGGATATTTATCCAAAGCACATGAAAACACTAACTCAAAAAGATATATGCCCCCTTATGTTCATTGCAGCATTATTCACAATAGCCCAAACTTGGAAGTAACCTAAGTGCCCATCAACAGATGAATGAATAAAGATGTGGTACACACACACACACACACACACACACATACACACACACACAAAATGGAATACTACTCAGCCATAAAAAAGATGAAATTGTCCCATTTGCAACAACATGGGTGGACCTTGAAGGTATTATGCTAAGCAAAATAAGTCAGATGGAAAAAGACAATTACCGTATGATTTCATTCATATGTGGAAGACAAACAAACACATAGATACAGAGAACAGATTGGTGGTTACCAGAAGGGAACGGGTGGGGGAAGGGCAAAAGGGGCAAAGGGGCACATGTGCAGGGTGACAGATGGAAACTAGACTTTTGGTGGTGAACACAATGCAGTCTACACAGAAGCCAAAATATAATTTTACATAATGTTATAAACCAATAGGACCTCAATAAAATAAAAAGTAAAATAAAAATTAAAAAAATTAAAATAAAAAAGGCATTTTTTATTTAAAAAGGGTGATGAAAATATTCTAAAATTGATTGCGGTGATGGATGTACAACTCTGTGAATATACTAAAAATCACTGAATTGTACACTTTAAGTGAATTGTATTGCATGTAAATTATATCCCAATAAAGCTGTTATAAAACATTTTTTAAAAAATGTTTTGTTATGATAAACTCGTTGATATTTTTAATTATTGCATAATCATCTATCAAGAGGCCATACTTTAATTTATTAAACTATTTCCCTATCATTGGATATTTGGGTTGGTTCTACATTTTTGGCTACCATAAAAATTGCTACAGTCAACTTCTTGGTACTGAAGACTTCTCTCTGTCTAGAATTAGCTCCTCTCGGAAGCGGAAATGTTGTGCCAAAGTGTAACATTGCTTATGTTTATGGAGGGCTTACTACCAGTCAGGTGTGGACCACACTAAGTACTTCACATGCATTATTTCTTCAAATGCTTCATCACCCGAAGAGGTCTATTCTATCCCTATTTTCAGAAGTTGAAACTGAAGCTCAGAGAAGACAAGCAACTCACCCAAGGTCACAGAGCCAATCAACAGAGGAGCCAGGTGCCCACCCAGTTCTGCCTGGTCCCAGCGGCCACGGTCACTACACTCTCTCATCAGGACTTAATGTTTTCAAACCTTGCTAACTTTCAAGGGCAAAAATGGTATCTTGTTCTAAATTGTTTTCCTTTCTTACTGATGATGTTGGATATTTATTTCTTTGTGTTTGCCAAACCAGACACATTCCTTTTTTGTTAATTACCTGTTGGGGCCTTTCCCATAGTTGACTATATAATTTGAGGGGTGAATAGAATGTGATCTATGGCTTATTACCATAGTTAAAAAGAAAAACCCCAGGCACAGTTTCCTTTTTAGAAGTCTCCTCAAATGTGGAAGCACCTTTAATGATGGCCGACATGACTCCGGGAATTCCCTACCATCAAGTTCTTTGACACAAGTCCCTAGTTCTCCCCTCCTTCCTTCCACCTGGCTGAGCCGGGAGCAGCACAGTGCAAGGGAAGGCTGCTAGGTGCAGGGCTGGGCCTCCCCCTTCAGAGCAGTCCTGTCCTTTCCTGAAGCTTTTGCTCCAAGAAGGGCTTGGAGCAATGCTCAGGCTTGCGCTCATTGCTCTACTCCTAAAGCACTCAACCAAAGAGCGTCTTCCTTTCCACGGTTATGTAGACAAACACCACGATGATGAAGATGCCAAACACAGCGAGCTTCAAGGCCGCTGGAAAACTTTCGAGGTCCCTGCTCCCGGCACTCCTGTTCCCCGTGCAGTAGGCCTTCTCTTTGGTGATACTCCATTCTCGGCCTGTGGTGTTGGATGCTCTCGCGGCACACCTGTGAAAACATTAGCGGCTCTTAGTTGTGCACAGCTACTATTGGAGCACCCCTTTAAAGTGTGTGGGCCTTGGGGCCCACGGGAACAACCATGGTGGGGCTTTAGGGAGAGCCCTCTGTCATTTAAAACCTGTGCTAATTTCGGCAGGTGATATTAACAAGGTGCCATGGGGATGTGAGATCTCTAAAATCCCACAAAGCTTTTATTTATCTTTATCACCCACCTTTGTGACATCCTTCAATGCTGGCACAGACCTGACTCAGGGGCTTACAGATCCCCTGGTGCCCACTGGGGATCCGTGTGAGCGGATGGGGGGCATTGGTGCACGGTCCCTCTCCTTTCTCTCTTCCCAGGTATGAACACTGCCTGACAGGGTGGAGATGGGAAGTGCTTTTGAAATCTGCTTATTTCGTGTTTAAAAGGGCGATAGGATGCTTTCTGAAATCTTTTAGAGAGTCTTATGTCTCCACTAGTCTAATCCTGGAAATCTGCCAAACTTTACTCAGACGTTACGTTACTTTACTTTCTGACCAACCACATGGCCTCTCTTGAGCTTTTATTTCAACTACCTGCTCTTTTTCTTTCCCTCTCTTTCCCCATTTTCCAAGACACAAAAAGGAGCAGATGTCTCCAAATGACTACAAATCAAGAAACTGGGTTCTGGTCTCAGTTCATGGTGACCTTGGCACCACCTCAACCTCTCTGGCCCGTTTCCTTTTCTCCAAATGTAAGCCGTGCACTAGAGACTGTGCGAGCCCCTTCAGCTTTGAAATTATGAGGTATTACAAATCTTTCTTCTTTCTCAACAGATTCTTTCCAGACTCAAACCCTTCACAAAAATCTGAATGACGATTTTTTTCCAGGAGTTACATAAGACAATAATATCTTCCCACATGCTAAGAAAAGATTACCTTATTCCCTCAGAATGCTCATAGTCCAGGCAGTAGACGTCCGGGACTTTGGGTTTAGTGGTGGAAGCCTTAGGTTTCTAATGAACGAAAAGGAAATATCAAGAAGAATTTATTATTTCTAATGTCTTATACAAAGGATCTTATTCTTTTTTCTAGAAAAAGTTATATAATCTGAAGACTGATAGAAGTTTTTGGTATAGCAGGTAGTTTAGGTCTTCGTAACACAGACCTTAAGTTTGCCTCTATCAGATAATTAGCAAAACCCTCCGAGTCCCGTGGTGTAGTATTTCACTTCAGTGATCACAGGTGAATAGCAGACACGCCAGTGACGAGGCTCACATGACGCCAGCAGCATTCTGTTCTTAAATATCAACTCGCTAGTTTGCTCTTATTTGTACTTTTTTACTGCTTGGAGCTTTTGTTATGAACATGCATCATTTTAATACAAAGACTAAAGTTGTTTTAAAAAACAAGGCTATAAACAAGGACTAGAAAATAATTTAGGAAAATGAGAAAATTTTGTTCTGTAAGAGGGATAGAAGTAGGGACAATCGTGTTTTCTTTTTCCAAAAATTCCTTTCATGTTGTTACTTTTCAATAAAGTGAAAAGGCACAGCTCTCTGTGCCTTTGTTTCCTCCTGTGGAACAGAGATGTAAAGATTGAGTGACTTAGTACATCCAAAGTGATTAAAGCATCTCCTGGCACATAGTAAGCATTCAATCAATGTTAGTAAAAGGTTTATGATATCGATAATGATTATTAGTTTCGTGTTGCTGTTTTTCCTCACGCATCTGGTTTTCTCGATTGTCCATTCATATTTAAGATTCAGGCCTTTTCATCTTCAAGTGTCTGTAGCGTCCAGGTTGGGGACCCCGAGGAACGTGAAGATGTGGTGTCAGGTGATGTTTCTAACCACCATTTATTGAGTTCCAGGCCCAGGTGCCCATTAACTCACTGAGGCCTCCTAGACCACCTGCCCTCATCTGGCAGGCACTATCATCGCTCCATTTGGGAGAGGATAAGTCAGAGGCACAGAAAGGTTAAGTAGCTTGCCTAAGGTCACACAGTATTATCAGTGGAGCTTTGTGCTAGAACCATTACACTAGACTCCTCTCTACCCTTCAGTTTCTAAAAATAATTTCCCTCCTGCAAGAAATCCTCTTTATTATTCTTATCCACTCAGATCACTCATCTACTCTATATTTCCTCAGCCCTAATATACACATTCTGTACTTTACTTCATTGATCTGAACTTTTATTTAGTCATTTAACAAACATTTGTAGTGTGCTGCTGAGTGCCAGGCCCCAGGCCAGCTGGGAGGATTTCTGAAGGGACCACCTCACCGTCCTGTCCTAAACCACTCACCACTGAGCACGGTTGTTGTGTAAGTATTCTGCACTGACTTCCTTCTCCCTCATCAGACCATCTGTTGGATCTCATGGAGCTGCCTTCTCTTGCTCTTTAATCAAGCCACAATGTCTACCATTTAGGGTCATTGGTAACTCGATGTCTGCCCCCTCCTGCAGGGACCCAGGACCCCTGAACGTGAGGGGAGCCTCTGACACCTGCCACACTGCCAGACGCCTCATGGATCAGTAGGCCGAGGACCAGGGAGTCAGGAACTGGAGAAGCCCCAAATACACGAGCGGAAGGTGGGGCTGCCTCAGACAGGAAGGACGACCGACACGCAGCAGAGCAGAAACCAGAGGGACAGTCAAAAGGAGACGTTCTGACAGCAATCCCAACATAAACTGGAGTAGGGTGTGGTGGATGGTGGGCCAGGAGAGGGGGTCACAGAGGTATCAGGAGAAAGGAGAGCCCTGGTCTTAGCAAGTGTGTTGTCACAACACCCCAAGAGAGCCCACAACTCTAGAGAGTCTGGACTATCACTCACAGGGTGTGTTGTGTCAACAGGTCCCATGGTCTCAGCCCAAGGTGCGGGGGGAGGGCATGGCCTGCTGTACCATCATTTACTGCCAGTCACCCCCTTCCCAGCACAGGCCACCGATGATGAAACAGCTGCAGCCTCCATTCTTTCCCCTCTACTCCTTGCCCCACCTTCTCAAAAAAGGGGTCCTCAACAGCAGTTCAGGGATACACAAGCAGGAACTCCACAGACGGTGGGGAGCTGCGTGGCACCCAAGCACTACCCCCAAGGGAGCACGGCTCCCAGGCCGGGCATCGTGGACGCACAGACCACCGCAGGGATTCCCTGAAGAGGGAAGCAAAGGATTTGAGGAAGAGGGACTTGAAAAATACTCACCGAGGTGCCACGTGGGCTAGTGGTGCCCAGCTCACTAGGAGACCCTTCAAACTATTTCCAAGGGTGCTGGAAAAATCTTTTAAAAGCACATTCTGTTTTTAAAACTTTTTAATTACAGAAAGTTTTAAACATATACAAAAGCAGACAACGGGATAATGAACCTCTATGTACTCATCACAGGCAACTTCTTTTTAATTCTTTTAAATTTAAAAATAGATATGTTAAATAAAGCATTTGGGGTAGAAGTCTGTTGCAAAATCAAATTATAGGATTTCACAGCTCTTAGGCAATCAAATCTTCCCTCCCTCCCCTTCCCTCCTGCCACAGGAGGTTGAGGTCTTTGGTTTCCATTTCTTTTATAATTTATTCCCCTTCCTATCATTCATATGTGGAGTTCTCCTACAGTAGGTAAACGGTGGACATTATGATTTTCACCAAAGGAGTAATGATGGCCTATCAACTTGACTGGTCAGCCATCAATAAACATAATAATTATAAAGACTATGTAATGGAAAAAAGGGCTATCAATTAACGTTACACACAGTAAACAGAGTATAAAATCATATGTCACGGTGATGGCCACTGCGTAAACACACACTGGATATGCACACAAACAAAAACCAGAGGGAAATCGGAAAAATAAAATCAGTTTTTGCGTCAGGTGGCATGTTTTTAGCTGATTTATTTTTCATCTTTAAAAAATTCCTTTAGTGCTGTTATGATATGGTTTTCACTATAAACACCATTTACAACAGAACTAAAAAATATTGGTGTTCATTAAAGCAAAGGCTTAGTGAGAGGAAATGGCGCCATGGGGAAATGTCATGTCTTTGCTCCCTTCTCCCTGTCCCCAGAGCCAGAATCAACAAAGACGGCTGTTTTCGCAAAGCATTCACAGCTGAGAGCGGGGGCAGGGGCAGAATCACCACCCCCTCTGCTTCTTCACTACACCCCTGGCCTTCAAGTCAGAAAATGATACCCATCCACACATTACCGCTCACAGCTGCAGTTATAAATGTAATAATCCTGAGATATGCCGACACAATAAACCACGAGCATCTCCTTACAAAGCAGCTGACACACATGGTATTTCCTGTGTGCCAGGCACAGCTCTAAGCATTTCACATAAACTCATTTAATCCTAAATGCCACGCTATGAGGAAGGTGCTTTTATTATGTTCATTTTACAGATGAGAAAACTGAGGCATGGAGGGTTGAAGTAGCATGCCAACGGACACACAGCTGGTGAGGTGGTGGAGCCAGGAGTCAACCCGGGCGGTGGAGACGCAGAGCCCCTGCTCACAATCACATGCTGCACTGCAGAAGGCGAGTGCTGCTTTACCGGAGGGAATTAGAATATTGTGCTCTGAAGTCCATTGTCTCGAGCATTCAACATGCCTCAATTCATTTAATCTTCCTAACAATGAGGAGGTAATCACTGTAGTCACCATTTTATAGATGAGGAATTAGAGGCTTACAGAGCTAAATTATTTGCCCCAGGTTACACAATTAGTAAAAGGCTATAATTTAAACCCAGATATTCTGGCTCCAATGCCCATGTTTTTTGTTTTGTAATATTTCTGTTGGGGAAACTCATCATTAAAAATATATCAAAACATATTCCTAAAAACTGTTTTCATTAATTAATAAATTATCAAATCATTAATTAAGTTCCTGTGGCAGTAACACTTGGAGACATCAGATCTCTTCCTAAATATTTCAGATGAATTGGCATTTTAATAAGATTTTTCCAGGTAGACTATTTTGTGCTAATTCTGGCCTATAAACGTATATGGTGTTAAATCTGAAAGTGGATTGTATAAGAGATATTATGTCATACTGTATTATAGTTAACTACAAAACACTGGGCTAATATCCAGAGCCAGAAAGAATAATCATTTTGTATTCTCATTAAATCATCACTCATAAAAAAATGTATTTGATTTTTGCAAAATGATCTACCTTGACTAAAGCCATTCATATTTGTCCATAAAGAAAGACAAGTTTGTTTGCATTTCCACAAGCTGTGTATTTTACAGTGTAGACCAAACCTAGCCAGAAATGTTGCAGGCTGACACCTACAATTACAGGCAATCAAAGAGGGGTGCTGGGTGTGGAGTCCCCAGGCCTCCTTTCTCGTATTCTCCCAGGCTTCTAACTGCTGGGCCTCGGGGAGTCAGGAGGCAGTCCTGCTCCTGGGGGGTGGGGATGAAATTCTCTCCTAACTGAAATGTGCTACATTTTCCCATCCCTCTACTTCATTAACGCAATTTGTTTGAAAGGCCTATATGTAGAACCAGACATTTTTACAAATGACTTGGCAAACTGGCAGTTGTGACCTGCTTACAGGCAGGAAAAAACCTTTTGATTTAGAGCTCTTTAAAATTGAGTTAGCCTCAAATCCCCTTATTGACCAAAATGATTAAGTTCATAAAAGATCTTACAATGATTTTAGACTCTTACTTCATTGTTTTGCCTCAATCTTGATTTAATAAAGCTCTAATTTAAGAGATTGTGTTCTTTTAACCTAAGTAATGATTTTGAGTTAATGAAAAGCCTTTAAAAATAATCTGTACCACATTAACAAAAGAAAGGTTAAAAACCTTATGATCATCTCCATTTCTGATTTAAAAAAAAAAAATCTTACAGCAAAGCAGAAATAGAATGGGAACTTCCTTAACGTGATAAAAGATATCTTCCAACCAACAACTACACCAAAAATCACGCTCAAAGGTTAAACGTTAAATGCTTTTCCTTTAAAATCAGAACCAAGGAAAGCATCCCTACTATTATCACTCTTACTTACTATTGT